GTATGCAGCATTCTGGAGCCTTACCATGTTGTGTGTGTGTGTTCCTGTGTGCAGCGTCATGGAGTCTTACCGTGTTGTGTGTGTGTGTGATCCCGTGCACAGTGTTCTGGAGCCTTACCGTGTTGTATGTGATCCCCTGTGTGCAGCGTTCTGGAGTCGTACCATGTTGTGTGTGTGTGTGATCCCATGTGCAGCATTCTGGAGCCTTACCGTGTTGTGTGTGTCAGGTCCCGTGTGCAGCATTCTGGAGTCTTACCGTGTTTGTGTGTGATCCCGTGTGCAGCGTCACAGAGCCTTACCGTGTTGTGTGTGTGAGTCTGTGCTCTTTCACAGCTCCGTAGTATTCCCTCACAGGTGCCCCTCCCCGTTGACTCTTCCCTTTCGCAGGGCTCCTGGCAGAGTCTGTCTGATTTTTCCTTTATGCACAACCCTGTGTAGAAGACCTTTGCATGTATACATCCTGGCAAATAGATAAGTTCCCAGAAGTAGAATTGCTGTGTATGTTTAGACACAGGTTTTCCAGAAAACAGAAATGTTTTACTAATTTACTCTTCCACTGACAATACTTGAGAACAAGTTTTTTCTATACCTTTGCTAAGGCTGATATTTTTTTTAAATGATGGTAAAGGCACATGTCTACTTTGAAATCATAACAAAATGTTTGTTTTAAGGATAGTTTGGAGAAACGGAACCCTCAATTTCAGCAACTTCATCTCTTTATCTGTGAGAACACTGGCCACACTTCACTGTTTAGAAAGATCCTTCCTTTTTTTTTCGCTATCTAGCAGTACATGTTTTATCGTTCTGTTAGGTTTGACGTGAGCAGCCCGCCACAGTTAAGTCACTGAGCGTTTCGGGTGCCTGCTCATTCTCTCAGGAATGTTAGAATCCAAATACTGACAGTTATTCCTCCAGAAGAAAGAATTTGCAGAAACATTATGAGAAAGCCTGATGTCCATTTGTATGATCTATTTGCTGTGTTAATGGAGGAAACTACCTTTGAGACTAGTTGTAGTGTGGAAGGGGTGAGTGAGAGAAATAGTTTTGGAATGAAGCGAGCAGCCCTGGGGGAATATGAAGGCAGCGCTTCAGGAGTGCTGTGGTTCGTTTTCCATAGGATCACTGCACATAATAATTTTTAAAATTCCTGTTTCTAGTTTAGAAGGCAAATGACAGTTTCTTTAAAAAACATGCACTGTAGTCTTATAAAAGAGAAGTGTTCCAATTACATGATCGTAAGTGATTTCAGACCATTAAAATTCTGACAGCCTACTTCCCCAGTAAATTATCTGTTTGTAGGCTGTGGCCCCAAAAAGCTTAGAGAAATAATTTCTAATCTTGATGTTGTTCTATCTCTGTTCCTTAAATGCCTGAGAACTACAATTTCTTAAGAATTTGCTAAAAGCCTACTGTGTGCAGAGCTCTGAGGCCTGCCCCAATACAAACCTGCTCTCTGTGACCCAGGAGAAGGCACAGAGCTGCAGATACCTTGGTGTATCACAAATGTTTGCATCCATAGTGGGTTTAGAGTACTTTCCTCATCTCGAAAGTGTACATCTAATGAAATTTAGCGGGATAGTCAAGAACGTAGAATAAATAAAAAGTTTCCATGATCCTCCTGGATGTAGCAGCTTCTAAATTGTTGGTGTGTGTGTCTTTCCAATTTTTCCTTATTTTTATTTAAAAGAAAGAATTCTGGGATCTTCTGACTTGGTGTGTACTGACTGTGGCTTGTGCTTACTCTGCCTGTCAGAATGTAAAAATTGTGACTTGCATCGGGCCTGTCATTACAGTTGATTTGATATCTTTATTGATTGATTGATTGGAGACAGTCTTGCACTGTCTACAGGCTGGAGTGCAGTGGCACGATCTCGGCTCACTGCAACCTCCGTCTCCTGCATTCAAGTGATTCCCCTGCCTCAGCTTTCCAAGTAGCTGGGGTTACAGGCGCGTACCACTGCACCCGGCTAATTTTTATATTTTCAGTAGAGATGGGGTTTCACCATGTTGGCTAGGCTGGTCTCGAACTCCTGACCTCAGGTGATCCACCTCGGCCTCCCAAAGTGCTGGGATTGCAGACGACAGCCACTGCGCCTGGCCTGGTTGTGATATCTTTAAAATGAACAAGGAATTCTTTTGTCTAATTCTAAAAGTAATGCATGCAAAATTATAAAAAGAAACACATACAAAAAGCAGCAAAGTACAGAGAAGAAAATAAATGTCACTTACTGTCCGAATACCTGTGGGGTCATTACTGGGTCATTACTTTCATCTGCCGTTACGATGAAACTAGCTCTCTGACCCCAGAGAGGTTCCGTAACCTTGCTGGACTTGTTTTCCCCTCGGCAAATTAGAACATTAGAGTAACTCCTGGGAGGGTCTCTCTCTCTCTTCTTCCAAGCTTAGTTTGATGCCCAGTTTCCATTGAGAGTAAAGAGCCTTTGATTGAGGTCCTGAGAACCTTTGACTAGCCACAGGCACTTGTAGGCATGGAGTTGTAAAAGTTTTGTTAAGTGAGAATTCATCTGCAAAGGCCTCAGTGGAGATGGTTGACGCACTTCCTGCCTCGGGATTTGCCGGGCGGAAGGCAGAGCCCTTGGCACGCTGTGTGCTGCTTGGGAGTCGACAGTGGTCTTTGGCTTTGGATAATTTCCCGCCGGGTAGATGAGATGTGACTGCTTTTGTCTCGGACCTGTGAGAGGTTCCTGTTAGAACCATGGGAGCATTCAGCAGTTTTAAGTTTTGGAGTTTTGAGATGAATCATCTAGTGTGTGTAGGCTTAAAGGCATGGGCGCTCTCTTTTATTTTCCAGTCGAGATCTTCTTCAGAAAATCAACCTGTGTAACATGTCCGGGGGAGTTGCTTTGGCTGAGGTGGAGGCAGGGTCTAGAGAGGCCTGTGCACTCGGCTTTCCTCTTGGACTTTCCCCTCCAGCCCTCCTTCAGCATTTGGAGAATCAGAATGCCTGGCAGGAGTGCTTCACCCACATCTGTGGGCAGCCTGTGTGTAAGGTCAGGCTGAGAGGGTGGTCTGCCCTGGGGTGGGTGCCGTGACCTTGTTGGGTGTCACAGTATAGACAGGTGTGAGTTGAGGCTTCCTGAACAAGGTGACATTTGAGTGGGGCTGGACAGAAGGTGGTTTGATTTCCCTGGTGGAGGTGGCTGGAGGTTGGTGGTGTGGGAAGGGCTGGGACACAGTCAGTACTGGCAGAGCGGGCAAGTGTCCTCTGGCCACAGTGAGGTCATCCTGCTTGGCTGTGGTGTGGGTGCCCTTGAACGCAGGCAGATGGTGTGTCAAGGTGCGCATGTGCTGAAGGGCCAGCATTCAGATTTCTGATTTTTTTCTACCAGAAGTGCTACAGTAAACTCATACGTAGGCATGTATATAACATCTGTTCTCATATACTGGCATTCATTTTTGTAGAATGGAGTAACAAACTGGCATTACTGTTAAAAACTTAATGAAAGCTATTACTAGCAAGTCCCAGGTACTCAGGAGGCTGAGGTGGGAGGATCCCTTGAGTGCAGGAACTTGAGTCCAACCCGGGTGACATAGTGAGTGAGGCCTCATTTCTCAAAAAATAAAAAGAAAAACCAAAAGTGATGACTGTGAACCCCGAGTCCATACTTGGTGCTCAGTGGAGAGGAGGGCTGCTGATGAGGTGGACGGTCTCCTCCTCCCACACGTGTGAGCGTGCAGGGTAGAGCGCGCTGGGAGGAGTGCGCCAGACAGTTCACGCTCAGTTCAGGCAGACAAGAGAATGAGAAGAAAAAATACTCATGGCACAATCCGCAATCTTTAACAAGAACTGTTGACCTTAAAATTCTATCTGTAACTGCAAATAAGTAAATTTTAAAAAACTGACTGGGTCTAGGGAAAAGGACTGGAAGGGTCACAGACAAACAGAAACGTGGTTTGCCGAGAGGGGGAACTGTGGCCGGTTTTGGTCTGATTTTGAGGTTATCTCCGACATTGTTTTTGCAGTCAGTTTTAGACAAGAGGAAGGAGGTCAGGACCACACTGTGGCTGCCCCGAGATGGGGATGAGTTGCTCGTCCTGTGGGAAGCCGTGAAGATCCCACTTGCTGTGTGATGGGGGCAGCTGGTCTCAGCTGCGCCTGGGAGGGACGGGGACCCGGGGCTGGGGTGGTGGGGGAGGGTTCTGTCACTTGGTGTATTAAGGTTGAGACTGTTTTGATGATCAGCACCTATGACAATGTGATACTCAGTGGGTTTTTTCCTCCCCTTTTAGTTCTGGACCTGCGGATAGAGTGATTTTGATTTTGGAATAAGGTAGCTAACAGATTTTATTTTAAAGTTGGGAACAAATCATTATTGATTGGGTTTTATCAAACCAAACAGGGCAGCCCCACAGAGCACTGAGTGAGAAGCTTGTGGTTTTGGGGCTAGGATTGACTCAGTGGCACATTAGGGAAATAATTACCCAGTGTCTGGGCTTTTCTGGGGATGAAGGAGTTATTCTGTTTTCTGCCTGACTGAGAATAAGTTCAGCTGTTCCCATCACACAGCAGGTGTCAGGGGATCTTCACGGCTTCCCACGGGATAAGCAACTCAGCCCTGGCTTGGGGCGGCCTCAGTGTGGTTCCGACCTTCCTCTTGTCTCAACTTGACTACAAAAACAATGTCAGAGATAACCTCAAAATCAACGACCGGAATCGGCCCCAGTTGCCTCATCTTGGCAAACCACGTTTCTGTTTGTCTGTGACCCTTCCAGTCCTTTTCCCTAGACCCAGTCAGTTTTTAAAAATGTGCTTATTTGCAGTTGCAGATAGAATATGAAATAGATTCTGCTATTTCTCATTCAACCTTAAGGTGTCAGCGCTGTTTACTGTCTTAATGTTAAAATAATTCCGTAAAACTTTTGATGTTAAACGTTTTTTTCTCTGTCACTGATTTCAGTTGTTTTGGAGAATCATGTAGTGACAGATGAAGACGAACCTGCTTTGAAACGCCAGCGACTAGAAATCAATTGCCAGGATCCCTCTATAAAGGTAAAACTCTTACTCTGTTCTGTGACGTATGGTGCATCGGAGATTTCTAGGGCTGCCGTAACAAATTACCATACACAGGATGGCTTAAAAGTGGAGCCTCTCATTTCTGGGGGCCAGAAATCCAAAACCAAGGTGTGGGCAGGGTCTCGCTCCCTCCAAAGGTTCTAGAAGGTGGATCCTTCCTGCTTCTTCCAGCTTCTAGTGGCTGTGGCCCTCCCTCAGCTTGTGGGCTCGCCCCAGCCTCTGCCCCCCTCTTCATGTGGCTGCCGCCTGTGTGTCTGTCTCCCTTTCTCTCCTCTAGAAAGGACTTGTCATTGGATTGAAGGGCCACCCTAGTCCAGGCTGACCTCACTGACTAAATTACATCTGCACAGACCCTTTCCCAGCGCGGCCACATGGGTGCATTCTGGGGTTAGGACGTGGGCATGTCATTTTTGGGAGTCACCAGGCAGCACACTACAGAACAGTGGGAGCCATTTTTTCTCTTGAAGAGCACGAAGAGTAAGAATCGTTAGCCTGGAGATGCTGCCGAATGAGGTATCTTCCCATACTCCCGCAGACCCATTTTGGATGGCAGGAAGGTGAACTTATGTGGCTGTATTTTCTGCCAGCGATGAATGACTTCTGTCCCTGTCATTTGAGTCACCTAAATTCTAAAGTTTATTAGAGGGTTCTTGGGTACTGCTCAGTGAATTATTTTTGGATCTTTGAATTTGATTGTTTCTGATGTTTGCAGTGTCACAGAGGTAAATATCAGCACATGTGAGAAGTCTATGAGCGCAACACAAAACCAAAGTCACTTTTCATGTAATTCCTCTACTTATACACGGTGTCTATTTGGTAATATTTTATTTGTTTTGTTAACAAGGAAAAGCTGTGTAATGTGTATGAGAAACTTAAAATACATTCACAGTAAAATGCCGTTTCCGACCAATGGACAGAATGTGGCTCTGTTAGTAAACACTGCCTTATTCCGTAAATAACATGCAGTTGGTGTTTTATCACAGAAGACACACTTACTACACACAGCACGGAAATATGTGAAGTGGGCCTGGAAGTGGCCATGCCGTCATCCTTGGCCCACTGTTGAGAAGAGGTTGGGCCCCCGGTTGAATCCTGCCATATGGATGGAGTTGTGTGCATGGCTCTAGGTTGTTTTATTAGTATGTAAGAGGGATTTTTCACCCAAACCCCAAGCAGAGTCATTTGTAATTCAGAATTAAAATAATGTGGGTATACTGCTTAAAGAATTGGAGAGCCACACATTTGATACCTTCAGGTTGTTGAAAATAGTGGAGTTATCGGTGGCCGTTCAGGGATTCAGCCAGCGATTGTTGCTTTTCAAGACGAGCATATTTGTCACGCCATGGACCTTGCCTTCTTTGTAGATAAGCTGACTGAGCATCATCACGTGGGCTCGGGTCCCCCTGATGCCGTGCCTTCTTCCTCCCACACACGGCTTTAGTGTCACATTACAGCACAGAGTAGTCAGTCAAGGAGGGTGAATTGCAGTTGGTTTCTTTAGCTCCTTTCTGTATTGGCACCCTCGTGCTGAGTCTTAGCAGGAGAGGTGGTGGCCTGAGACGAAGGTGAGCTGGATTGCCCTTCCTGCAGTGCTGTCCCTGCCACTATGCACCAGGTTTTGATGCCAGCGACATGATGTGTGTTAGCGCTGTAATCTTGATATTCTGCAGGTTCCCTTGAGATCGGAAAGGAGAGTGGGCCGGCAGCAGTGCAGCAGGTCAGCCACAGTTAGTGGGAAGCCGTTCCAGCTCCACTGTGGGCTGCCTCCCGCGCCCCTGTGCTGCAGGCCCCACAGCCAGCTCTCAGTGGCTGCTGTGTGCTGCCCCTGCTGTCCTGAACCTACCTCCCCCTTCTTTCTGATGGCTCCACTTTGGGCCCCACACTCTAAATCATGGGCAGTTTTCAGCTATTGATTCTTAAAGCAGGTACCAGCCCTCCTGACTACTAAGCAGGACTGGTAGGTGTTCCCCAGCCTGCCCCTCCCTAGACACGAAGGAGCGTCCTTTTGTCTGCTGGTGAGACCTGGTGGAGGGTGTCTCTTTTGCACGGTGCAGTTCCTATGTGATTAAGACGTTCCATGTGTGTTTGTGGTGGCTCCTGGCTGGGATGGCAGCTGGGGAAATGAAGTTCTTCCCTTTCTGGTTTGTGTGTTTGCTCTGTTTCTTGGGTTTGGAGTCTGGCATATCACTGCTCCCTGTGGTTACTTGGAGTGAGGAATCCGGAGGACACTCAGCCGGAAAGGTCGGACGTGGAGCCCGGCTCTGCCAACCGCTAGGTGGCATGCTTGCTGCCCGAGCCCCACGGAGCCTTGTGACCAAATCCCCGAGTCAGGGCCATCAGGGTCCAGTCATCTTCAGATTAGGCAGCTGGTGTGATGTGAATGTGCATGGCCTGTGGCTTTTATGCTGTTTTGATGTTAGATGTGGTCTGTTTTTATTGTTGAGAAGGTTTGATTAGTTGTATGTGTAAATTTACTGACTAATAATATATTAAACTGCATACTTTTATTATATGGGCATAACTAAAAATTGCAACTGCTCATAGAAGTAAAACAGTGATTAAGTCATCACATTTTAAACAGGAAATATGACTCGTATGTCACATGTGAACTTTTACTCAGCTGTTTCTGGCTCGTAGCTAACAAGCTAGTTCCATCGTGGGCATTGATCTGTCCGAGTAGGTAAGAGTTGAAATCAGGAAAGTAGTGTTCGGTGTTTCTTGGGATTGTCTTCTCACGGTTCAGGAGACCCTTTCTAAAGCTGGTCTTTCTCCACTTTCAGTCATTCCTGTATTCCATCAACCAGACAATCTGCTTGCGGCTGGACAGCATTGAGGCCAAGCTGCAGGCGCTGGAGGCTACGTGTAAATCCTTAGAAGAAAAGCTGGACTTGGTCACCAACAAGCAGCACAGCCCCATCCAGGTGCCCATGGTGGCCGGCTCCCCTCTCGGGGCAACGCAGACGTGCAACAAAGTGCGATGGTAAGAACAGACCCGGGTGCCGGGCCTTCGGGTCGCCTGGGGAGAAGCGCGTCACCTCCTCGCCCAGGCCTGTGGTGTAGTTGCTTATTGGCTGGAGATGCGAGGTGTCTGCCTCAGTCTCAGCAGTTTCTAAGTAAAGCTGACTTTAGTTAGACCAAACCCGAATACCTGGCATTGTGCCAGGACGACCTGAACTTTCCTTTCCGCTTACCCCAGACTGATGCGTCTTTCCGTTAGAACTTACCCCCCAAATCTTAGAAGGTGTACATGTGCTGCTTTCCTTTTTCCTTCTCTACCTGGCCCGTCTTCAGATCTGTTTTTCTTTGTATGTGGTGTTTATATATTTCACGTGACTATATCAACTTTCCATTCAAGTCTGCAGTTTTTACTGTGCTTATTTTTAAAAAGTGGAGTCTAATCTTAGAAGCCGTGTGGTAGTTGAAGTGCTGTCTTAATAGAACCTTTAGTGTCTTAGAAAGTCTCGGACTAGCCTGGGCCTCCGCTCATTCGAGGCTTCGTATCAGACACTCCGGTGGGCAGCTTGTGCTGAAGCCCGGGCACTGGTGTCGCTAGCCTTCCGCACACCCGGCCAGAAAGAAGTCCTGCCTAAGGCAGTAGACACCGCATGGCTTTGTGCCTGATGACGGGCCTTTTGACTAAGAGCTGCTCTCTTCAGGTTCCCCGGCCCAGCTGCAACCTTCTGCCTGGTGTGTCTGCGAGGAGAGAGCACGGTGGGATGGCGGGGGGGTCAGGAGACATGTGAACGCTGAGGAATGGGAGCCACAGCAAGCCTGGAAGGACTGTGTGTGCTGGTGGCTGGTGCTGGGTTAGGAGCTTTGTAGACCTCCCCGGGGAGTGTGGGGAGGGAGAGCAGGGGCTCCTGAGCTGGCTAGGTTTGGGATGTTCATGAATATACCCTAGAACCGAGGTGGTAGCTCGTCATGGCTTGTCTGGGGGCAGCTCCAGATGATGGCTGCCACGCTGGCGGAAGCAGTGGTGCCTCTTTGAACTCTTAGGCATGCCGGGGTTTTGGAAATGCTACCTGGCCCTCCACCAAGCTCCGCTGATAGTGGTGGAGTTGGCATCTCAGTTCGCAGGCGGGAGGTGGGGATCGTCTGTGTTCCTCTGAGATGGGGCCTTCACCCTGGCGATGCTGTCACCCACGTGTGTCCTCCCAGCAGGTGTGTGTTGACTGTGTCCTCTGTGCAGGGATCTAGTGGTGGAGTTGGCATCTCAGCAGGCAGGAGGTGGGGATCATCTGTGTTCCTCTGAGATGGGGCCTTCACCCTGGCGATGCTGTCACCCACGTGTGTCCTCCCAGCAGGTGTGTGCCGACCGTGTCCTCTGCAGGGATGCTGTGGGGCTCTCAGGTCGGGTGTGCAAAGCTGTTGGACCCAATGCCTTTTTTTTAGGATAGTTTTTTTGGTAATGTCCTCTTACTCTAAAATGTAGTGTTTAGAAAATAACGTTTATGTCTTAAAAAAAAAAAAAAAAAGAAAATATAACTTAATAGACTGCCCCAGTTACGGAGGATAAATGTGATAGCAGTGTAATCATATAACACATTTCAACATGGTGATGGTCGGCTGTGAAAAAGCCGGACCTCCCATCTGGTGTGTTGCGTCCTGCTGATGGGGAGGGGCGGTCCCTGCAGGCTGACCTGTGTGACTCTGTGAGTTCAGACCCCAGCTGGTGATGGAATATTACAGAATGGCGAGCAGCTCCTAGTGAAGTTTCAAGTAAAGCAAAGTATAATTTTTTTCTAGACTTTTGTAATAGTTGAATGCGTGGAAAATTCAAGTCATGGTAAAACCATGCAAAAATGTTTAGTGCGTAAATGTTGAATAGAGTGAGATTCTGGGATCAGAGAGTTAGAAGCATGTTTTCCACTCGTGAAGTTCTGGTTCATCGTAAGTTTTGTGTGTGAAGAGTTTTTGCCGGGCGAGACTGTCTTAATCACTGAGGGATGCAACCTCCCTCACCTCCGCCGGCCAAATTCCAGTACTCTCTTAATCCTGACCACCGAATATGCCCCCTGGGGTCTCAAAGCACCCCTGGGTACCTGCATTGAGAACCACTGTTCTAAGGAACTACACCAAAGAACGAGCCTCTTCTGCCCACAGGGCCTCAAGTGCTTGAGAACGGCCGCCCCATCACTTGTCAGGCTGTGCTAGTGCTGGACAGGTCATTGTCACCCCTTGGGAAAAGTGTGGACAGAATCCATCATTAGATTCCACCACTTACAATGTCTGCTGGGGAGAGAAGTTCCTGTGGACGATGAGGAACCCAAAGCTACATTGTGGTTTCCGTCATGGCTTGGCCTTGAGGGTGCCTTGTTTGGATTCCATGTGCCCAGGGTGGAGCTTGGGCCTCTGGCTGTCACAGTAGCCCTGGCAGATGCTGTGGGGTGACCTTGGCCAAGTCATGCATTCATTTCCATCTGAGATTCTCGTTTCCTCATCTTTAAAATGAAGATGAGAGGAAGAGGACTTGGAGCTGCTCTGGGGCTGCTTCTGCCCAGGGTCCCCCTGCTGTCTCAGGGTAACAACAGTGTCTGTGCTCGGGAAAACAGATGCTGGGCTGCCCGGGGACAGGGTGGCACCACTTAGGCTGAGCTTGTAACTCCTGACTGCAGCGCCATGTTCCTTTGATTTTTGGGTTGTCTGATGATAGAGCTACTTCCCTGGGCAGAGGCGTTTCCAGGCTGCAGGGAGTCACACTCTTACTGCTGTCTTCAGCGATGGCAGGACCGCTGGGATGGTGTCATGAGCGGCTCATGGTCGGAAATCTCCCATGCTTCCCTCTCCTGGGGGCAGTGTTATCATTCACAGACCTGCCCGTCAACAAGCGGTGAAAGAACAGGAACGTCGTCTCATAGTGATTCAGATGCACAGTCCAGGTAACCCAGGTGTGTGACATCTTTGGGTTGGAAAGAATTGTATTGGCAAGGCAAAATCAACCTATTGTAGAATATATTTAGCGTATATCAGCATGGGGTTTATTAATATTGCTAATAAAACCATTATTTGTAAAAATTAAGATGAATAGAATTGTTCTTCTATTTTCTTATAGTTTTAAACAGGATAAAAATTTATTCTATTTAAAATCCTATTGAAAATATATCCTATTTAAAACAACAAGAAAATGGAGGAATGATTTCCTTTTTTTTTTTTTGACACAGAGTCTTGTTCTGTCCCCAGGCGCCAGGCTGGAGTGCAGTGGTGCAATCTCGGCTCACTGCAACCTCTGCCTTCGAGGTTCAAGCAATTCTCCTGCCTCAGCCTCCCAAGAAGCTGGCACTACAGGTGCATGCCACCACACCCAGCTAATTTTTGTATTTTTTAGACAGACGGGGTTTCACCAGGTGGGCCAGGATGGTCTCAATTTCTTGACCTCATGATCTTCCCGCCTCAGCCTCCCGAAATGCTGGATTTTTTTTTTTTTTTTTTTTTAAATTGAGACTGCTCTGTCACCCAGGCTGGAGTGCAGTGGGGGGATCTTGGCTCATTGCAACCTCTGCCTCCCAGGCTCAGCTGATTCCCTTCTGCCTCAGCCTCCTGGGTAGCTGGGATTACAGGTGTGCAGCATGATACCTGGCTAATTTTTATAATTTTAGAAGAGACGGGGTTTTGCCATGTTGGCCAGGCTGGTCTTGAACTCCTGACCTTAGGTGATCCGCCTGCCTTGGCCTCCCAAAATGCTGGGATTACAGGCGTGAGCCACTGCGCCTGGCGGAATGGTTTCCTTTCATAGGAAAGTTTTAAATATAGTATATTTGAATGACTTTTAAAGGAGGCCAGGTGGCTCATGCCTGTAATTCCAGCACTTTGGAAGGCCGAGGTGGAAGGATTGCTAGAACTCAGGAATTCCAGACCAGCGTGGGCAACAGAGTGAGACCTCCATCTCTACAAAATATTAAAAAATTAGCTGGGCACAGTGGCACCCATCTGTAATCCCTTAGGAAGCCGAAGTGGGAGGATTGCTTGAACCTGGGAGGGCGAGACTGCAGTGAGTCATGACGGCACCACTGCATTCCAGGCTGAGCGGGACACTAACTCAAAAAAAAAAAAAAAAAAAAAAAGGTAGTGTTAAGTCTGGCATTTCTTCCCATATAAGTTCTTTTCAAAAGTGTCACTCTGTCATCCAGGCTGGAGTGTAGTGGTGCAATCTCGGCTCACTGCAACCTCTGCCTCCTGGTTCAAGCGATTCACTTGCCTCAGCCTCCCTAGTTGCTGGAACTATAGGTGCACACTACCATGCCTGGCTAATTTTTGTATTTTTTGGTGGAGGTGGGCTTTGCCATGCTGGCCAGGTATCTTTCCATATAAGTTCTGAAAATTAGAAATAAAAATTGCTAACAGTTCAAAGCTGTTGACAGAAAATTGTAGGGAAGAAATAGTGGAGAACTTAATCCCAGTCCGTTAATGAAAAAAGTTGTGTTTAAAATAGATTGTTACTAATTTGTAAACACATGAGTGTTGTTTGAGAATTGTCTGTCTAAAATGTGGGCAGTGGAATGTGGAAAAGGGAAAAGTCTCCAAAAAAACTTAAAAATTGGTTAGCATTCCAAATAGTAAGATGCTTCTATGAATTATTTAGTTTGGGCCTCAGATATTTAAAATGAAGAACAGAAGTATGTAAGTCACAGATTGTATTCTATCCTAATCCTGTGCTGTTAAAGTAGCCCGACGTTCCCAGGGCTCACTCCTTCCTGTACGGGATTAGCTGGGAAGTCCGAGTGTGATCTTACAGCACAGATGTAGACACCTTAAGGGACTTTGAGTTGTAATGAGGCCCCTGGAGAGAGGGCAAGAAGCTGCCCGCTGTGGTGTCACTTGCCCTTCTGTTTAGAGTGGCTACGTCTGCTCAGAGCCAGCCTAGCCTTCAAGGGCGGGCACAGCAAATAAGCTCAAGAAAAAAGAAAAGAAAAAGAAATAAAGCCCTTTTTGTTTGAAGCTGAAGTTGAATCATTGTAATAAAAATGTGAGTCACCTGGATGG